GCACGACCGTTCAATAGTGAGCATCATGGGCTTGATGATCTCGCTGTGCCCACAATCACAACCTCAAATGGTGGAATGCTTGGAAGTCCTGCATGAAGGCAAGCTTGTACATGCTGACAGGTTAGTCCTTTGTTTTCCAGCATATCATCATACATGGTTCTCCGTACATCAACAACGAAGTGTCCATCTAGGCGTTATTATTCATGATTGTATTAAAACGGTGATTGAGGCGTTCAAAGGTACCTAAATCCAACACGCCGTCTAAATAAGGTAACTTAGCCGATGCCGTTTTTGTCTCCGAAATCCGTTTTAATTCGTCCGGCTGAAAACTAAGCGGGTCGGCCTTTGACTAATTAGGCAGTATGTATATATACTTCACTGCGGCGCACCGCGGGACGTCTAATAATAACCCGCATGCTGTGCTCGTCCTAACTCTCGCCTTGCTTCCTTGCCCCTTCTTTCACCTCTGCCTCTGCTCTGTCCTGCCCACCGGGCGCTCCCGTCCTCGCACTTTCATCGCCTTCTGCCCGTCTGTTCCTTCTCGCCTTGATTACGTAATATCCGCCCTTGCACGTGATACTTGCTATCAAATTACTGGTCGCTTATTGGCTATCAAGCTCCGGTAACTCAGTGGGGTAGGCTCCCTCCAGCCAATCAGAGCAATTCTTTCTCCGTCTTACCCATGGTTCCACATGACTAATCTCGGTCCAAACGCTTCTTTCGCTCTTCTTCGTCGTCTTCTGCGTGCTTCTTTTTCCTGCTGCTTCATCCTTTTCCTCACTTCCCTGCCTCGTCCTTCGTTTCGCCTCTGCGCCTTCATCGCCTGCACATCACACCGTCGCTTTCTATCAAAGTCACCACTCTCATTCTAACACCAGTCAATTGCTATCTAGCTTCGGCTGTCTGCTACCATGGCCTCTGCTGCCCGTACCTTTTCGAGAGCTCTTGCTCGCGGCGCTACGCCTGTGACCTCCGTCAGACCCTCGGCAACTCGTAATGCTGCTCGATTTTCCCTTCCAGCACAGACCTACAGAGCCTCCTGGCGAAGAGGATACTCCACGGCCTCTGAGCCTCAAAAGTCCTCCTCTGGCATGTACTGGGCTCTCGGAGCCGTTGCCCTGGCTGCCGGTGGTACTTACTACTACATGAACAACGAGAGCTTTGCTGCTGCTCAGAAGCCATTTGTCCCAACCAAGGAGGACTACCAGAAGGTCTACGACGAGATTGCGCACCTTCTTGTGGAGAAAGATGACTATGATGATGGCAGCTATGGACCGGTAAGCCTTTCACCTTTCCTTTATTGTCTACCGGGAGACACATATGAGGGCCAGTGGCTGATATCTCCCTGTTTTCGATAGGTTCTTGTTCGTCTCGCCTGGCACGCATCCGGCACATACTGCAAGGACACCAAGACCGGAGGAAGCAATGGAGCTACCATGAGATTCGACCCCGAGTCTAACCACGGAGCCAACGCTGGTCTCAAGACTGCTCGCGACTTTTTGGAGCCCGTTAAGGGTGAGTCCAGACCATCACACTGAGGAGTTGACATACGTTTAACATGACAGTGTTGCTGACATTTGTTATAATATAGCCAAATTCCCATGGATCTCCTACTCTGATCTCTGGACACTTGCCGGTGCCTGTGCCATCCAGGAGTTGCAGGGTCCCACCATCCCATGGAGACCTGGCCGTAAGGACAACGATGCCTCTGCCTGCACTCCAGATGGCCGTCTCCCCGACGCCTCTAAGGACCAGAAGCATATCAGAGACATTTTTGGCCGCATGGGCTTTGACGACCGTGAAATGGTTGCCCTCTGCGGTGCTCACGCCCTGGGTCGTGCCCATGCTGACCGATCCGGATATGACGGTCCTTGGGACTTCAGCCCTACTGTTATGACCAACGAGTTCTTCAAGCTCCTCCTCTCTGAGAAGTGGGTCAACAAAAAGGTACGTCAATATGCAACCGTCGTCCTTTGCTTGCTTGTTTAACATCAACTGACTCCTTAAAAATAGTGGTCCGGCCCTGTCCAGCTCACTGACAACAAGACCAAGACTCTTATGATGCTTCACACTGATATGGTCCTGATCAAGGACCGTGAGTTCA